GAAATTTTATTTTTACATCTTAATAATAATTTTTTGAAGTAAATAGGTTAGTAAGCATGTTAAATTAAAATAAAAATTTAATAAAGATGTACCGACAATTTTCATAATCGTTATTTTTTAAAACTTTTTTTGACATTATATGTGTAAAAAAAAATTTGTATTAAAAAAAATTTATATTAAAATTTCTATGAAGATAGTAACACAAAAAAGTGCAATTATAATAATCGTTATTTTTAACTTATTTGATTTATTGTATCGTAAATAGGTTATAATTATTATTATTAAGATGTAAAAATAAAATTTCAATGAAGATATACCATAGAAAAGTGAAAATTGTTATAAATCGTTGTTTTTGAAAAATTTTTTAAAGCAAAGATATTGTAAACATGTTAAATTAAAATTTCAGTGAAGATGCACAGGAAAGTGATAATTGTCATAATCGTTATTTTATAACTTTTTTGAATTTTTTTAAGGCAAATAGGTAAAAATTGATAATGATAACATGTTAAATTTAAATTTCAGAGAAGATATACTACTGGAAAGTGACAATTGTCATAATCGTTATTATTGAACTTTTTTGAATTTTTTTAAAGCAAATGGGTAAAAATAGATATTGTTAACATGTTAAATTAAAATTTCAGTGCAGATGTACCACAGGAAAGTGGCAATTGTCATAATCGTTATTTTTGTACTTTTTTGTTTTTTTTTAAAGCAAATGGATAAAAATATTTATTGTTAACATGTTAAATTAAAATTTCAGTGAAGATGTACCACAGGAAAGTGACAATTGTCATAATCGTTATTTTTGTACTTTTTTGAATTTTTTTAAAGCAAATAGATAAAAATATTTATTGTTAACATGTTAAATTAAAATTTCAGTGAAGATGTACCACAGGAAAGTGACAATTGTCATAATCGTTATTTTTGTACTTTTTTGAATTTTTTTAAGGATAAAAATATTGTTGTTAACATGTTAAGTTAAAATTTCAGTGAAGGTGTATCTTTTTAGAGAATTATTTTGTAGATCTTGATTTTATAGAGAAATATTATATATGGGACAATTATAGAGTTCAAAAAATTTATGCTATATTTGAAAAATATATCAAAATTAACATTTTAACAATACAATTCAGTTTATTTGTTGTGTTTTTTCGATGACTTTATTTGTTTCAACAATGGTTTTTTTGTAAAATCTTTTTAGTTCATATCCAAGGTTTAGCTTGATTATTAACTCAGCTAAACCAAACCTGAAACGATTTGTTAAATATATATTACCGTTATTAAAGAGAATCTAAACTGAACCAACCATTTTTAAATTTTTTATATATAGCATTTATATGTCAGCTACCTAAATTTATAGAAAAGTTCTTAACTTAAAATTTATCTTTCAATTTTTCAATTTGTGTTGTAACCCAAAATATTAAAATTTAATACTAATCTTTTTTCTTATGGAGTTAATACTATAAAAGATGCACATGGAAAATTTATCATCAAGTTCTGGAAGAATTGTCTATTTAATATTTATAACATTTTATGTAGATTGTGAGTCAGGTGATTATTAGAGATATAAATTTAGTTTATTTGCATTTGGAGAAAATAGTTTAATAATGAAATAATAAATAATTTTCAAAATATCTTTATTTTATTCTTGTTTAATAAAAAAAGTTTAAAAATATTAAATATGACAATTGTCAATTTTCTATGTTATATATAAAAAAAATCAAAAAAGTTCAAAAATAACGATTATGGCAATTATCACTTTCCTGTGGTACATCTTCACTGAAATTTTAATTTAACATATTAACAATATCTATTTTAACCCATTTGCATTAAAAAATTCAAAAAAGTTCAATTATAATGATATGACAATTGTTATTTTCCTGTAGTACATCTTCACTGAAATTTTAATTTAACATGTTAACAATAAATATTTTTATCCATTTGCATTAAAAAAAATTCAAAAAGTACAAAAATAACGACTATGACAATTGTCACGTTCCTGTGGTACATCTTCACTGAAATTTTAATTTAAATGTTAACAATAAATATTTTTATCCATTTGCCTTAAAAAAATTCAAAAAAGTACAAAAATAACGATTATGACAATTGTCACTTTCCCGTGGTTCATCTTCACTGAAATTTTAATTTAACATATTAACAATATCTATTTTTACCCATTTGCTTTAAAAAAATTCAAAAAAGTACAAAAATAACGATTATGACAATTGTCACTTTCCTGTGGTACATCTTGACTAAAATTTAAATTTAACATGTTAACAATATCTATTTTTACCCATTTGCTTTAAAAAAATTCAAAAAAGTTTAATAATAACGATTATGACAATTGTCATTTTCCAGTAGTATATCTTCTCTGAAATTTTAATTTAACATGTTAACAATATCTATTTTTACCCATTTGCTTTAAAAAAATTCAAAAAGGTTCAAAAATAAAGATTATGGCAATTGTTACTTTCCTGTGGTACATCTAATGATATCATTGGGTACATCTTCACTGAAATTTTAATTTAACATATTAGCAATATCTATTTTTACCCATTTGCATTAAAAAATTCAAAAAAGTTTAATTATAATGATATGACAATTGTCACTTTCCTGTAGTACATCTTCAGTGAAATTTTAATTTAACATGTTAACAAAAAATATTTTTATCCATTTGCCTTAAAAAAATTCAAAAAAGTACAAAAATAACGACTATGACAATTGTCACGTTCCTGTGGTACATCTTCACTGAAATTTTAATTTAAATGTTAACAATAAATATTTTTATCCATTTGCCTTAAAAAAATTCAAAAAAGTACAAAAATAACGATTATGACAATTGTCACTTTCCTGTGATACATCTTCACTCTTATTTTAATTTAACATGTTAACAATAACTATTTTTACCCATTTGCTTTAAAAAAATTCAAAAAGGTTCAAAAATAACGATTATGACAATTGTCACTTTCCTGTGGTACATCTTCATTAAAATTTTAATTTAACATAATATCTATTTTTACCCATTTGCTTTAAAAAAATTCAAAAAAGTTCAATAATAACGATTATGACAATTGTCATTTTCCAGTAGTATATCTTCTCTGAAATTTTAATTTAACATGTTAACAATATCTATTTTTACCCATTTGCTGGCACAAAAATAAAGATTATGGCAATTGTAATTTCCTGTGGTACATCTTCACTGAAATTTTAATTTAACATATTAGCAATATCTATTTTTAAGCATTTGCATTAAAAAATTCAAAAAAGTTCAATTATAACGATATGACAATTGTCACTTTCCTATAGTACATCTTCATTGAAATTTAAATTTAACATGTTAACAATAAATATTTTTATCCATTTGCCTTAAAAAAATTCAAAAAAGTACAAAAATAACGACTATGACAATTGTCACGTTCCTGTGGTACATCTTCACTGAAATTTTAATTTAAATGTTTACAATAAATTTTTTTATCCATTTGCCTTAAAAAAATTCAAAAAAGTAACAAAAATAACGATTATGACAATTGTCACTTTCCTGTGATACATCTTCACTGAAATTTTAATTTAACATGTTAACAATAACTATTTTTACCCATTTGCTTTAAAAAAATTCAAAAAGGTTCAAAAATAACGATTATGACAATTGTCACTTTCCTGTGGTACATCTTCACTGAAATTTTAATTTAACATAATATCTATTTTTACACATTTGCTTTAAAAAAATTTAAAAAAGTTCAATAATAACGATTATGAAAATTGTTACTTTCCTGGGGTTCATCTTCACTGAAATTTTAATTTAACATATTAACAATATCTATTTTTACCCATATGCTTTAAAAATATTCATAAAAGTACAAAAATAACCTTTATGACAATTGTCACTTTCGTGTGGTACAGCTTCACTGAAATTTTAATTTAAAATGTTAACAATATCTATTTTTACCCATTTGCTCTAAAAAAATTCAAAAAAGTACAATAATAACGATTATGACAATTGTCACTTTCCTGTGGTACATCTTCACTGAAATTTTAATTTAACAGTAACAATATCTATTTTTACCCATTTGCTTTAAAAAATAAAAAAAGTTCAAATAATAACGATTATGACAATTGTCACTTTCCAGTAGTATATATTCTCTGAAATTTTAATTTAACATGTTAACAATATCAGTTTTTACCCATTTGCCTTAAAAAAAATTCAAAAAATTTTAAAATAACGATTATGACACTTGTCAATTTCCTGTGCATCTTCACTGATATTTTTATTTAACGTGTTAATAATATCTATGTTTTAAAAAAAATTTCAAAAATAACGATTATAACAATTGTCACTTTTCTATGGTATATCTTATTGAAATTTTTATTTTACATCTTAATAATAATAATTATAACCTATTTACGATACAATAAATCAAATAAGTTAAAAATAACGATTATTACAATTGCCCATTTTTTGTGTTACTTACATTACATCTTCATTAAAATTTTAATATAAATTTTTTTTAATATAAATTTTTTTACCCATATATGTCAAAAAAAAGTTTTAAAAAAATAACGATTATGAAAATTGTCGGTACATCTTTATTAAATTTTTATTTTAATTTAACATGCTTACTAACCCATTTACTTCAAAAAATAATATCAAATAAATAATAATTTACTATAACATTATAAAATATGAAGATCTTTGAAGATCGTTGATCTAAAATATTTTTAAATAAAAGATCTTCAAAATATCTCGATCTTTGAAGATCGTTGCTCAAAATTTTTTAAAAGTAAAAGATTTTCAAATTTTCAGATCATAAAAGATCTTGCTCAATCTTTTGTACAACTCTAGATCACAGAATTTGCGTTTTGCCGTCCTTTTTTAATAAAAAACGTGACGCTTGCTCGGCTGCATTAAAAGTGGAGACGGATCCGATTTCACGTCAAAACATCTGATTTGACGGCGTACGACAAGGCTTGCATAGTGATTTTTTTTAACGTTTCGACTTAAAACAGATTAGACATTATTTTATTTTTTAAAATGAACCAATATTCTTTACTTAAATTATATATGATCTCTTATTCAAGAAAGAAAAAAATATAGTTAATTCGAAAAGGAGGAAAGAGGGAGCATATTTTACTTTGCTGCCAAAATTACTTAAAGATGACCTCAAGTTTTATAATTACATGCGCATGAAAAAAGTGAGTATATTTTTATATATAGTATTTTCACTTTAAAAAATAGGAAACATTTTATTACATACTAGATAATTAAAAATAAAATTACAAAAAAGAAAACTAATTTTATCAAGAATCTTATTACACCTGATGAAAAATTGATAATTACACTGAGGTAAGTATTTTTAGTTTTATTTATTCTTATAAATATATATATAAATTTATTAAAATTAGTTTATTATATATATATTAAATTAATTTTATAATTAATATTGAGATATAACCTTAATATTACATATAATAATGAATATTTACAATAATTAATATAACATTTAATAATGAGTTAATTATAATAATTAGGCATTTAAAAATCATTTTTATGCTAATTTCTTGATACTTCATTTGATTTAGATACCTAGCAACTGGTAATTCATATGTCACCTTGTCATATTCTCATAAACTTGGGGTATCAACTATAAAACTAATAATAGGAGAAACCACAAAAGCTATATGGGATATTATTTAACCCATCCATATGAAGGTCCCAACATTGGAGATGTTTGAGGAAGTTGCTAAGAGCTTTGATGAAAGGTGGAACTTCCCAAACTGTATAGGTTTTAATTTTATTTATATCAAACAAAAGATAATTATATTTTTTATTTTATTATTTCATACTATATTATTATTTTAATATTTTTAAGGTGCCATTGATGGGAAACATTGTAAAACAAAAAAGCCTCCACATTCTGGAACCCAATTTTATAATTACAAGCATTTGGAGACACAATTCCTACTTTATGGAATCAACAAAGCATTAAGAATACCTCTAATCAAAACAAAAATATTCAAAATTTATTTTCTTATTATTTTAATAATGTTAATATTTTGCCCTGGCAAAATAATATATTTAACTAATATTTATAAAATTCAAATTAAATATTTGGTGAATGGATAAATAATAAGATTTATTAGAAATTGATATTCTGTTTTTTTAATGTGTCATTTATTAAAGTGAAATGGAGCATATAAAATTCATAATGGTACTAAAAAAATATAATTAAAATATAAAATTCATAATGGTACTTAAAAAAATATAATTATTAAGCAAAAATAAAATTCATAATGGTACATAATGTGATATAATTATAAAGCCTTTTTTATTCGATTTTGAAACTTTTTCTACATATATATTTTCATCTGTGGTGATATCATACAGCGGAGTGGAATTTGATATGGTTATGTTGGATATTTGTGTTCTAGGTGTTAATGTTTTGTTTAAAAAAGATAATGCTTCATAATATGGTCATACAGATATATATGGTGGTCCCATCTAGTCTTTAACTCATCACCTAAAAATATAAAACAGATAAACAATCATATTGTTTGCTCAATTATTGATAGTATTTAATTTAATTAAAAAATTAGTTTGCTCCTAAATAATTATTCAAAGATATTGATTAACATTGTAATACCAAATTTAAGAATTAAATAGTAAGCTTAATCTTTTTATCTAAATACTTAGATGAGATATATTAATACAATAAATTTAACTCATCACCTCAAAAATATAAAACAGAGGTAATGAATGATCATATTGTTTGATCAATTCTAAATATATATATAATTATTGAAAGTGTTCTATTTAATTAATAAAATATATTCAAAAAAATTTATGTTATATTTATAAAGTTTTAATACCTGATTCACCAAATTGTAGGCCTAAATTTATCCAAAATTCTGATTTTTTGCGTGAATCCTTGTAACTTTCATCAAATTTATCATATTAGATCCTCTTACAGCTTCAATTAAATCTAACACATTAATTTTCATTTTTAACATGAACAAGCTAAAATATTAGAAATAAAAAATTATATTTAGTTATTTTTAACAAGGTAGATGAGAGTAAAAAGAGAAGATAAATGGAATAGTTATGATAAAATGCTATTATAATTAATTCAAAAAATTCTATGGGTTAATAATGTATATATGTATTATGATGTTAGAATTAAAATAAAATTCTATTTAGTTATGATAAATAAGCTTAGTTATTTTTAACAGGTATGTTACAAATAGAGAAGACAAATGGAAGAGTAAAATTTAACTCATCACCTAAAAAATATCTGTAAAAACTAACTATTTAAAAAATTCTGTTATATTTATAAAGTTTTAATACCTGATTCAACAAATTGTAAACCTAGATTTATCCATAATTTATAACTATAAAGAATTATAAGAAACGTTATAGCGCTCTATAAAATTTGCCGGATCAAAAAGTCAAAATGTTTTGACTTCAAAATTTGCCGGATCCGTTTTCAAGACGGAAATCGAGTTTGTAAATTTTTTTCTATCTACTGTTGAAAACCGGAAATGCTATTTTAGACGAATTGAGCGAATGCCAGTTGTTTCGTTAGCAATAACGTTAAATGAAAATCAAAAAAAAAATGTTTGCAATCAAATAAGATATAAGAACCTAGTCGCAATTATTTATATGAAAGATATTTGTTTATTCATGTGATGGAAATAATACCTATTATCTTGACTTAATTTGAAATGAAATAATCCATATGGTTATATGAGAAGTAGTTTGATAAATGGATGTTGAAAATGGTAGAGATTGGGGAAATCGTATATACCACTCAGAATTATAACCTAAACTTTTTGTTGTGAGAATGATTGTTGTCTCAAAGCACAAGTATTAATTTTTATTTTATATTTTGATATGTTTTAGCAGCTGTGGTTTATATATGATGGAATTTCACCGCGTACTATAAAAGTACCCAGGTTACTTTGTATTCACCTTCTATTCCAGATATATATTTAACATATATACTTTACTCAATATCTCTGTAAAACCTTATTCTTAACATATAAGATAAAACTGAGAACTAAGTTCCTTAAATCCTTTAAGACCTATTCTCTTAATTATAATCAATTTAAGTATAGACCCAAATTTCTTATAAAATCAAATTTAATATAGTCTTAAATCCTTTAAGACCTTAATTTCTAATACAATCAAATACAATTAATTTTAGCATAGAATATATTTTTAAGACTAATTTAACTAATTTATTCACCATCTTACTTTCTGTTTAATCTCCCTTCCTCCATTTTATTTTATTTATTTTTAAATCTCCCCTCCATATCCTCCATTTTGGATTACATTTTAAATTATTGTAATTCAGTCAGGACTCCAACTTATTTTCCATTTATTCATATCTATAATTTCTAACCAATTTAACTATAGACTCTAATTTCTTAAATAATCAAATTTAATATAGTCTTAAATCCTTTAAGACCTTAATTTCTAATACAATCAAATACAATTAATTTTAGCATAGAATATATTTTTAGGACTAATTTAACTAATTTATTTACCATCTTACCTTTGTTTAATCTCCCCTCCTCCATTCTATTTTATTTTATTTATTTTTAAATCTCCCCCTCCATATCCTCCATTTTGGATTCTATTTTAAATTATTGTAATTCAGGACTCCATCTTATTTTTCATTTATTCATATCTATAATTTCTAATTAATTTAAGTATAGACTCTAATTTCTTATATAATCAAATTTAATAGTCTTAAATCCTTTAAGACCTTAATTTCTAATACAATCAAATACAATTAATTTTAGCATAGAATATATTTTTAGGACTAATTTAACTAATTTATTCACCATCTTACTTTTCTGTTTAATCTCCCCTCCTCCATTCTATTTTATTTATTTTTAAATCTCCCCCTCCATATCCTCCATTTTGGATTCCATTTTAAATTATTGTAATTCAGGACTCCATCTTATTTTTCATTTATTCATATCTATAATTTCGTCGAGTCCCTTTTATTATTATTTATTTATTTTTTTGTTTGTTTTCTTTTCCTTATATTTCCAAAATGACCATAACTTTAATTTAATTTAATTTATAAATTCTAGAAATTTGAATATTATAAATAAACAACATGCAAATTACAAAATTATTATGATCTCCATGTTTTTTTTATTTTAATTATTTTATTTAATTTTCTGTAATAAATAAGATATCGAAACGGAAACAACTAGAATAGTTCTACATAATTATTTTCTTTTCACCCATTTATATTTAAGAAATTTTCTGCTACTTAAAACTATTTTAAAACTATTTTAAATTTACCCAATCAATACTTAACTCACTAATCTAATATTCTTAAATAGTAAGGCAGATTTATTTAAAAAAAATATATCATATTTATATTAAATAAACAAATTCAATATAGACCATAAACTTAAAATTTACCAATACCCCTCCCTATAATATACATTTTATTTAATCGGGTACGGGCTTTTCTCTCTCTTCTTATCTCCCGTAGGCGTTTAAGCAAGTGGTTTGCCTCTTGCGCGCACAGGTAAATGCAACCTGCCCAAAAACTGTGGATGGGCTCATCTCATAGGCTACCCAATTTCTTAACCCAATTAGATGGGATGAGATAGTCCAAGCGTAGCTCTGCTGTTTCATATAGCGATAAAGGGTAATTGCGCTTATTATGACGTATGACGTTTTCAAGACGGAAGGTAACGGAACGGACGCACTTTGAACATATATATCATTTATAATGAGATTGACTTTTGACAGAACAGATGTAAAAATCGGATCTGTCTCCACTGGAAAAATGATAACCTTAAAAGATATCCACAATATTGGGAGCAACCTCAATAAACCTTCAAATAATATACTTTTTAATGTTTATCAACAATTAAAGGAAGATAATGGAGCTATCGTTGAAATAATAGAGGAAAATAATCAATTGATGGGAATATTTTACCAAGATTCTAATATGTCCCATAATCTAAAATTCTATCCAGAGGTCCTTTTTATTGATGCAACATATAAACTCAATAATATAGAATATAAGTTCAACATTCATTCAAAATAGCATGGCTTTAGAAAATTAAATGTCATTCCTTTGATTCCTTTGGCTAGAACAATGACAAATTCTTTACAAAAATTGGAAATAAGATTAGATTTTGTAGCTTGAACGTTGATCAAATGCAGTGATAGAACGGTAAATATTATTTTATTTTAATCATATTTATTTACAGATTCTATGAACATTATATCACAATATTGATAGCAATTATAACTTACACTAAAGAAATTAAGCTTAAAATCAGCCATCACCCACCTTTAAAGTAATTAAATTATACTGTAGTTCTCGGGTATAGGCTTTTTCTTTGTCCCACTCCTTTTAAATTAAAGCCTATAGAGGTTTAAGCAACATTTTTCGAAATGTTGTGCCTACAAGTACGTGCGGCTTGCCCACAAACGTGTGGAGGGCTCCTCATATTTTTACTTTTATACCCAAATTAAATTGTTCCAATTAGATGGAAATGAGGAAAACCTAGCGTAGCTCTGTTGTGTATTCAACGTTAGAGGGCGATGCGCTATATATCACTATATCACTCACTTTGAATGCAAGGCGGCGTTTTTAAATTATTTTTAAAAAAATGGAATTTATTAGCACAGATCAAGAAAAGATGGTACCATTATATTTATTGTTAAAACATAAAAATAGGAGGAAAATAGAGGTAAAACATCACAAATATTTATTAAAAGACAATTATTTTCTGAGTATGTTGCACTGAAAGGTGACCTAACAACATCTCAGTTCTTCAATTATATAAGAATGAAGAGAACTACATTCAATCATATTCTTAACTTGATATTTTATGACATCAATCCTAAAGCTACTAACTGCAATAAGCAAGTAGATGCAGAGGATAGGCTATTCCTCACCTTAAGGTAATAATTATTTAATTATCCTATATTTATTTATAAAAGATATTTGATAACTGGTATGTCGTTTTCTCTACTATCATACAGTTCAAGGACATCAAAATCATGTGTTGCATATATAGTTAAATCAATATGCAGGGCAATTTGGAATGCAGCTAAATATATTTACATGCCATCAAGAAAGGATTGGGAAAAAGTACATTAAATTTATATATTCTAATAATTTAATATATAATTATTTAGATTTCACAAGAGTTCCTGCTTCATTTGAGGTTCCCCATTGTTTTGGTGCCTTGGATGGAAAACATATCTATATAAAATGTCCTCCCAACCCAATAGTGGATATCAATTTTTTTGTTACAAACATAGGTTTACTTTAGTTTTGTTAACATTAACAAACCACATGCTCGAGTTAGTGTTGAACAAAGTTTTGGAGGCATTGTAAAAAAATTTGAAATTCTCAGCAAATATAGAAGTTAGTTTTTGGAGCATATAGAAATAATTGTCAAGACTATAAGCCTTGTGCATAATATAATAATAAGCAATGAAGGAATAGGTGCTGAAGTTGATGACATAGGTACAACAAATATTATAGTATTTTATTTTCATTATATTTAAAAGATACTATGCCTAATCTGACAACTAGACCATTCCCCATCAGCAAAGACAGACAAAACAATTCTTCAACAATTAAATCTAGAATTTTAAGAGATAAATTTAAAAATTTTTTAAACTCTTAATTATTTTTTGATATATTATTAATTATATAAAATATGTAATTGATTGTTATTATTTAGAATATTACCTAATAAATATATTTATATAATAAAATAGAATTTGTTAAAATTTTTAAATCTTAAATCCTAGAATTTATTTGACAAAAAATTTAATAAAAAAATGAATAGTTAATGAGTTATTTAATGATATTATAATTTCTATATTATTAGAAGCACTTTATAATATAAAGTATATATATATATATTTTAATAAATCTAATTTTCTTTATATGTAAAAGATACAATGCCCAATCTTACCACTAGACCATTCTTTATTGGCAGAGACAGACAAAACAATTCATCAAGAATTTTAAGAGACAAATTTAAAAATTTTTTAAAGTCTTTTATTTTTTATACATCATTGTTATAAATAATGGATAAATTTTTAAATCTTTATTCTGATTACCTTATAATTTAAAATCCCAAAATTTATTTGACAAAAAATTTAATAAAAAAACTGAAGTTTATTTATTAATGATATTATAATTTCTATATCATTAGAAGCACTTAAATATTATTTTTATTAGAATTAAGTGTGTATATTTTAATAAATCTAATTTTTCAATCTTTATTAATAAATTTGGACACTATTTTAATAAATAAAAACTTTATTATCGTATCAAAATCTTTGTTTTATAAAAAAAATTCAAAAAAAGCAAACCAGATTGCGTTTTTCCAAATTGACGCAATTGGTTAAAGTAAAAATGCATTAGTTTCGTTTGCAACGCAACGTTTGAATCGCTCAATTTGTGTGCACTAGATTACCAAGTGAAAAGTTTCATTCTTCTACCATAGAAGGTATACAGTTGATTTAATTATTAAATAATATTCCTTTTTTTAGGTGATGAAGAAAATTTTCAGAACCAGCAATTAAAAATGTAAAGCTTAATTAGGAAGAAAATCATATACAACGCGTATCTTATTCACATCATATATATATTCATATCGCGTATCTTATTTATATCGCGATCTTATTTATATCACGTATCTTATTTATATCAAGATATTTTTTTAAAGCTGTTATATCTCATATTTATATAATAAGTTTTGACCTTTTTCAAGTTATAAATAAATTTTGCAAAGAAAATAAAAAATTGTCTTAAATGTCAAATAAGTGAATAATTTTTATAATAGTGTCAATATCACTATATTTATTATATTTAATCTTTACACGTAGTCAAAAATGTCAATTTCCTTAACTAAGTGAGTAATTTTTATAAGGAGTAAAACATATCAGTATAAAATGTCAATATCATTAAATAAGTGAGTAATTTTTGTAAGGAGTAAAATATGTCAGTCAAAAATGTCAATATCATTAAATAAGTGAGTAAATTTTATAAGGAGTAATTTTTTTAAGGAGTAAAACATGTCAGTCAAAAATGTTAATATCACTAAATTTATTATATTTAATTTTTACAAGTCAGTCAAAAATGACAATATCACTAAATTTATTATATTTAATTTTTACAAGTCACCTAAGTCAATATCATTAAATTTTAATTTTTACAAGTCAGTCAAAAATGTCAATATCACTAAATTTATTGTATTTAATTTTTACAAGTCAGTCAAAAATGTCAATATCTCTAAAAAATATATTATTAAATTTATGCACGTCAATCGTAAATGTCAATATCACTAAATAAATGAGTAATTTTTATACGGAGTAAAAATAGTATGTTGCACCGGCAAAACTTTTTAAAAAATTTTCGGGTTCTGGTCTGGCAAGCAATATTTTTTAAAAACAAAACAATTTCGGGCCAGGTCGGGCTTAAAAATTAGGCCCGATGTATATCACTACTCCATTTGCCAAACTGGGTAACCTAGGATATCTTCTACGAACAACATCAAATCTAATTTTATAACTGATAGCCCAATCGTTTATCTGGGCACCTACCCTAGAGCATATACAATGGACCCCATCTAATATAATTATCCTCAGAATAGAGAGTCGTAACTATGGTTGCTAACCCACATTTCCACTCATCCTCATATTCATAAACATCATCTATGGTGACTATAGCTGCTAGCCTTATAGTTCCTTCATTATATAATTATGTCTATATTAAACTGGTTTATTTATCAGCATCCATTTTCACAAAATTTAGCATCCTAACATCGCTAAATAATCATAATCTATAAACCAAATCTCCATGCAATTGTTACTTTTACTTGTAGTATCCCAAGTTTTCATCATTATTTAGATTTCTCAATTCCTAAAATTCTGTATTCTGATAATCTCAATCTGCTTCATCATATTTATTGTTATTTCATTATTCAAAACTAGAACCTTAGTCAAAATCTCAATATCTTTAATTTAAGTTTCTTCACAAGATCAATTTCTTCCAAGGTCACATGGTTAACTAACTTCCACCAATCAATCACCATTAAATTCTTCTAATTATATAATTGTTACAATAACATAACCATTTCAAATAAATCCCAAAAATAACCATTAAATTAGTATTCAAATATATCAGATTTCCAATTATTAACATAGAATTATTATTCAAATTCAATCAATTTTAATACATATTTCTAATAATTACTCAACCACATCTAATCATAATTTAAATTTAGCACAAATTGATATTAATTACCAGTCAGTCAGAGACATCAATCAATCGCCCCAAATTAATTACCATATGTAACAAATTAACATTTTTTAAATTGAATCTTTCACAAATTCCATAACAATATACGTCCTTTTTTTTTGAAATTTCATAACACATGAATTTATATTTAATTAGCAAGAACTAATATTATTTATTTATAACTATAATATAACCATATCATTTAAAATGTTCATATTTAACATCTCTCCGTCGACAAAGATAACATGGTGTTAAATTCCAATATACGACGCATAATGATCACATTACATATTCTTATCTTATCTATCCAATGATTATCTAGCACGAAGGTCATAGGCGTGCCCAAAATGAGCGAACGTGAATTTTATGAAGGCCCACATTTCATAAAATTATGCCGATTTATTTTCTCAAGGATACCGACAAACCTTATACCCAGTTGTAATTTAACAAAAATGAGTGGAACTTACCCTTTCCGATTTTGTAATAGTGAGATTTAGTAATGAGTATTATAAAAGAAAATATAAATCTTATCTATTTTGAATTACACATCATTAATATAGAATGAGTTAAATATTTGAATCCATAGATACATAGGCGTAGCCAAAATTTTCCTAAGGGGGGATTAAAAAGTTATTGGGGCTTCACCCCCAGACCCCATTTGGGCGGGGCTTCGGCCCGTTTTGCCCAGCCTACGGCCTGATTACCTTAGTCTATATATAGTCATAAAATCTTTTTACAAGATAGGAGGTTAATTTTAATAAAAGAAATAAGCCTGGAACAAATATGAAATATATTTTTATTAGTTTAGATAAAATATATATTTATTAGTTTATATAAAATATATTTTTATTAGTTTATATAAAATATATTTTTATTAGTTTATATAAAATATATTTTTATTAGTTTATATAAAATATATTTTTATTAGTTTATATAAAATATAATAAATTACTTGTTATACATTAATATAAAAGCATGGTAATAATTTATTCCAAACAAGTATAAGAAATTTATTTATAAAAAGTAAATAGATATATAGTTGATATTCCTCTATTATATAGAATTAGTTACAAAATATTAGGTAAAATTTAACTTTTACAGACATATTTGACAGTTAAAGAATTAATTTAAGTTAATATTTTAACAAATTTTAGTAATCAATGCTCTTGATAATAGATATAGCAACAATTTACATTCAATTATTTAACGCCATCTATTTATTTTAAACAAAAAAGATATAAAAAATTAATCTTCATATTATTTATCCCACAATGTCTTTAAAAGATATTTTCTGATGTCCTTATCTATATTTTATAGTTTTCTGTAAAATATATAATTCGCTAAATTGGTAAAAATTACTTGATTGTCATATGATAATTGATAAAATTAGATATACTGTAAATCTACGACATATAATATTCCACTGTTTGTATTGTGCTTTAATTTTTTTTATTTAATTTACGTGATGATTTAATTTTATCAATAGTTTTATAATAAAATTTTACTTTTATTAAGATAAATATAATCAAATTACTCACTTTATAAAAATTTATATTTGATATATTATATTATTTAGTAATTTTATGGATCTATTATTAATAATTATAATACATTTCACTTTTGTCTTAAGACTTATCGTTGGCTTATATTTCAATTCTTAAAAAATATTTTTGGTTCACTTTTTTATATATATAAATGCTTTTTTCAAAAATGTATAAATTATGATGAATAGTTTTATAAAAAAATATCAACTTTTACATTCTTTCTTTTAAATTATTGTTTAAGATATATGGGAGTGGGGGGGAGGACTAAGGGGGATATTTTTTATTAGCTTAAAATGATATTCACAAAAGTGATAATTTTCTGAAGGGGAGGGGGGATTTCCCCTTGTCCCCACCCCTGGCTACGCCTATGATAGACAACAATAATAAAGAATAAATTAGTAGTTCCATTTTATTTGTTAAGTTATATTCTTCTAAAATTATTGAACCGGATAAACCGAACCATCATAAAAAAGCATTTCGAATTAAAAAAATTTGATATACATCATTATATAAATCCATATGTACGAAACATACGTGATATGTGATAAAGCGTATACGCCCTATCAACGTTGTAGATACAACAGAGCTACGCTAGGCATTTCTCATTCCCATCTAATTGAATTCATATAAAATTTAGGGAGAAAAGATGAGAAGCCCTTAACACGTTTGTGGGCAAGCCATACGTACTTGTATGCACAATAGTCCGATAAATATTGTTTAAACGTCTGTGGGCTGATTCATGTAGGGAGGACCAGGAAAGACACACCCATACCTACAGCCCTATTGTATTTAAGTAAGAGACAGGGGAAAGGCTTTCTAGAAATTAACATTTAAAGAGTCTGAGTACAAAATATGATAAATAAATAAGAAATGAAACCTGTATTCATTTTGGAGGTGTTTGAGTAGTTGAAGGGGAGAGGGAGTAGAGTGGCAAAAGAAGGTATATTATTTCAGATAATTAGACTTAACCTTAAGGTGTTTATTTATGGATTTTTTATTGTTATTTAGTTTGATGAATTGTTTCCAATTTAAGTTTAGGTCTGCCACATCTTTTAGAACTAGGTGGAACCAGAGTGTTTTATATTTACTGTATGATTTTCCTTTGCAGGTGAAGAGCCATGTTAGAGCATCATGAGCTAAGTTGGAGTTGGGATGTCTCAGTATATGGGCTAGGAATTGAATGCGTTTTTTCTTTAGAAGAATGTGAATAGGGGTGTGCCTTGATTTCTCCCATAATTTATCATTCGATATTACTCTGGCGTAGAAAACACCATTTATAATAACATCTTTTCGAACTTTTCTCTAATCACCTGAAATCTTGATTGCTTCTCTGTATCCTAAAGTGTTAAGTAAATCGTTATAATATTAATATCACTGGGCAAATATAAATGATTATCTATTTAAGAAAGTCTTAATCAATATTTAGATCTAATATCTACCATATATTATAATGAAAAGGATTAATCGCCGGGGTGGCCTAATGGGTTAAATATATGCTTGGAAACAGAAAGACGCAGAGGACGCAGGTTCAATCCCGCAAGGAGCATAAAAACTTTCAGGTTTTTCTTCGATGACTAATGTGTAAAGGCATATGGTAAGATGAATTTCGGAGCTTAGAAATGAAACCCCGGTCACCGACAGGCCTGGACAGCCGGGTGCTAAGGATACTTGTCCAATAAACAAAATGTTGGAAACAAATAAAAATATGTATATGAAAGCTAGGGCGTTCCCTCCAAGCGAAGCACAGGGTGTAGACCAACATCCTGCGAAAAGTAAAATAAAGGTCAAAGCAAAGAAAACAAGATTAGCAAGTTTGAATATTGGGACACTTAAAGGTAAGACAAGAGAATTGGCATCAATGTTGAACAAGAGAAAAGTTGGTATAGCGCGCATACTAGAGACGAAATGAGAAGGTCAGAAGACTTTAATGATAGGAGAGGGGTATAAATTGTACTATAATGCAATCGTTAGCAATAGGAACGGTGTCGGCATCATCCTCAGTCAAGATCTAACCTCCTCAATAGTAGAAGTCAACAGGATCTCTGATAGACTAATGAAGATAAAACTCTGCATTGTTCAATCAATACTACACATCCTTTCAGTATATGCTCCTCAAACGGGCTGCAAGGAAGAAGAGAAAGATGCCTTTAGAGCTATCCTTGATGAAGCTGTAATGGAAATCTCTAAGGATGACCTAGTCATAATAGGTGGAGACTTAAATGCGCATGTGGGAAGAGCAAGAGACAGCTACAAAAAGCATCATGGTGGTTTTTGAATTTGCGCAAGCCTTCGACCTTGCCTTAACCAACACTTACTATAGGGAAAAAGACAGTCATTTAATAACATATGAAAGTGGTACAAGGAAACAGATAGATTACATGCTAATCTCTCGTAGAAGATTAAAAGATGTAATGGACTGCAAAGACATCCCAGGAGAAGATATAGCCGCCCAACACAAGCTACTAGTCATGGATTTACACATCACAAATAAATCCACTCAAAACAAGATAAAACTGGAACCATGCATCAAATGGGGCAAATTAAAAACAATGACAAATGCCTTTGCAATTAATGCAAACATTGAAACAATAGATTCCTTACAAGTCAATGAAAAAAGGAGGACAAACCTTTCACCCAGATTAATAGAAACTGCTAAATCAACACTAGGCTTGACAAGGGGAGGTAACAAATAATACAAAGAACTATGCAGGGGCCCCTACAACGGAGGGGGGGGGGGTCCGAATCAACTGCTTCAGTAAATTTGAGTGGGGGTACTTTTTTTTTTATAATTTTTTTATTTTAATTTTTTTTAAATTAAAAAAAAATTTTTTTTTTACATCCATCATGATCATGTGATTTCTGGTTTATAAATGTAATAATAAGACCCCCCCCCCCACCACTTAATATTTAATTTAATATATTGACGGAATTTTGGTCTGTTTAGTAAATTTTATTTAATATCTCGTAACCAAGCCTTCTGGGGGAACAGGCAACAAGAAGGCAATATGATGGCCCTTATTAAGCTTATTGCAGATTCTGAACCTATACTAAAAATGTATATACAGCAAAATGAAGAAAGAAAAAAGGATAAAAAAATAAGGGATTAAAAACGAAATTATATCCAAACCTATTATCATATAACATAAACATTCTCATTGAAACCATTAAAAATATGGTTATAAAAAAAATTCAAAATGAGATTACATTTAACAGGTGCTTTTCAGTCGTAGTTGATGGCACATACGATGTTTCGAAATCAGAAGCAATAGCTTTGATAGTAAGATATGTTGAAAATAGTGAGACGCCGAAGCCTGTTGAAAGACTGATTGACATATATTGTACGGGAAATACCACAGGTCTCGATATAAAGCATAATATAATATCCAAACTTGGATCGATGAATTTACCCCTTGAATATCTAGTTTGGCAAAGTTATGATGACGCCTTAAACATGAGTGGAAGAATCAGTGGTGTGCAAGCCTTGATTAGAGCAGAGGCGCCAAAGGCAGCTTTTATTTGGTGTTATTGTCATCGATTAAATTTAATCGTTGTTCAATTATGCCAATCAATTAAAGAACTTCGAAATGTTCTAGGAATACTAGATGAGATTTATGTCTATTTTAATGGTGTAAAAAGATATGAGGTACTCAAAAAATTTCAGTGTAATGATCTGAAAAAATCGCAACGATTTCTACGCGTCAAGAATACCACTCGGTAATAGTTCCTTATTTATTTAAATTTTAAATGTTTTTTTTATTTAGAAGCTGGCTATCGTCATATAAAGCTATTGTAATTTTTTTTCAACTTTATGATACCTTGAGGGCAGCTTTAACAAATTTAAAGGATTCTGAAGATCCTGCCACTTCCACTATGGCTAGTGCTATAGTCTTTAGAATAGAAAAATTTGATTTTATCTTATCACTTTGTGTTTTGGATAAAATATTGTTGATAACAAGTTTGGCTTGTACAATTGCAAACCATTTCGAAGGATATAGGGTATGCAATAAATCAAATTCAATTGGCAAAAGATTGCTTGATTAATTTGAGAAGTATAATATAAATCATTGTCTTAATTATTTTTTAATCTAATAGACAATACCACTGAATTTTTGGATGTTTTTTCAAAGGCGCAAGATTTTATGAAGGAGAGAAATCTACCTTTTGATTTTGAAAGTTCTAGACTTCAAACATTACATTCCAAAAAGGAGAGGTATATATATACTTACATCATTAAATATAGAAATTTTTTTAGCTTTAAAATAGGTGTGTTTTATGCTGCACTCGATTTAATTATAATGCAGTTTAACGTAAGATTTAATGATGATTCAATGAAATTTTTACATCAAACATCATTATTTACGCCAAAGGGAATGGCATAAAAAATCAATTATTAAAGAATATATCGAGGATATCTGTGAATTTTACAATTTGAATTCAAGTCAAATTTTCGAAGAAATGTTGAAGTTTAGAAATATTTATAAGATGGCCAAAATGGGGAAAGTAATTAGTACTCATGACTAGTGTTGCGTAATCGGCTAATTTTAGCCGACTAAAAACGGCTTAGCCGAGATTTTAGGTGGAAAAATCGGCTAAGCCTAATTAGGCTAAGCCTAAAAATCGGCTAAACCTAATTAGGCTAAGCCTAAAAATCGGCTAAACCTAATTAGGCTAAGCCTAAAAATCGGCTAAACCTAATTAGGCTAAGCCTAAAAATCGGCTAAACCTTAGGCTAAGCCTAAAAATCGGCTAAGCCTAAAAATTGGCTAAGCCTAAAAATGGGCTAAGCCTAAAAATTGGCTAAAATAAATTAGTCAAAATTCTGCATCGATGCTTAGCATTAATTATTATTTATTTATTTTAGTAAAATAATTTATTTTATTTATATTTAATGTAAATATTTTATTATTATCAACAAATAAACATGATATGATTTAATATTTTTTATTTATATTATTATATTTTGAAATGAAAATAAATTTATTTATTTGATGTTTTTTTAATAAAAAAAATAATATGCTGCTATATTGTAAAAATGTAATATTCTTTATAATATAATTTATTAGTGATTTTCACAATCTTCTTTGTAAATACATCTTTTATTGAGGAATTATATTGTAAATTTTATTAGATAAATAAACAATCTTTTCGGTGAAATCTTTTATCATTTTTTTAAAATTATCTATTTATTATTAAATAAGGTGGATTTTATGAAACTTTTTTGATGTTATTTTATATGATCTTTTTAAGGATAATATTTTAATGTGACAATTGTCATAATCGTTCTTTTATAAGTTTTTTGAATTTTTTTGAAGGAAGCATGTTAAAACAAGTATTAATAACATGTGTAAATACAAATTTAGTGAAGATGTTACAATGAAAAGTGACAATTGTCATAATCGTTATTTTTAAAGTTTTTCGAATTTTTTTGACGAAAATATGTTAAAATAAGAATTAATAACATGTGTAAATATAAATTTAGTGAAGATGTACCAATGAAACGTGACAATTGTCATAATGGTTAATTTTAAAGTTTTTTGAATTTTTTTGACGAAAATTTGTTAAAATAAGTATTAATAACATGTGTAAATATAAATTTAGTGAAGATGTACCATAGAAAAGTGACAATTGTCATAATCGTTATTTTTAAAGAGTTTTGAATTTTTTTGACGAAAATATGTTAAAATAAGTATTAATAACATGTGTAAATATAAATTTAGTGAAGATGTACCAATGAAAAGTGACAATTGTCATAATCGCTATTTTTAAAGTTTTTTGAATTTTTTTGACGAAAATATGTTAAAATAAGTATTAATAACATGTGTAAATATAAATTTAGTGAAGATGTACCATAGAAAAGTGACAATTGTCATAATCGTTATTTTTAAAGTTTTTTGAATTTTTTTGACGAAAATATGTTAAAATAAGTATTAATAACATGTGTAAATATAAATTTAGTGAAGATGTACCATAGAAAACTGACAATTGTCATAACCGCTATTTTTAAAGTTTTTTGAATTTTTTTGACGAAAATATGTTAAAATAAGTATTAATAACATGTGTAAATATAAATTTAGTGAAGATGTACCAATGAAAAGTGACATTTGTCATAATCGTTAATTTTAAAGTTTTTTGAATTTTATTGAAGAAAATATGTTAAAATAAATATTAAAAACATGTTTAAATTAAAATTTAGTGAAGATGTGCCATAGAAAAGTGACAAGTGTCATAATCGTTATTTTTAATTTTTTGAATTTTTTTGACGAAAATATGTTAAAATAAGTATTAATAACATGTGTAAATATAAATTTAGTGAAGATGTACCAATGAAAAGTGACAATTGTCATAATCGTTATTTTTAAAGTTTTTTGAATTTTATTGACAAAGATATTTTAAAATAAGTATTGATAACATGTTTAAATAAAAATTTAGTGAAGATGTACTCTAGATAATCGACAATTGTCATAATCGTTATTTTTAAAGTTTTTTGATTTTTTTTGACGAAAATAGTTAACTTGCATCGATATTGATTTTAAAATAGAAAAAAAAGTTTACCCAAATTTTAAACAAGATTGTCTGGTGAAAATTGGTAAAAAAATAATAATTTCTAACTTAGGATTAGATATTATGATATAAATTTTGCATATTAATTTCTGACTAGATGTACAAATGTAATAAAATGCCAATTTGCTCCTGTTTTTGGGGAAGAATCTATTATTACCATATGTTCTTCTATGGCATATACTCAGGCAATTTAAATTTTACAATCTATATTTTTACCCATTTACATCAAAGAAATTTTAAAAATAACGATTATGACAATTGTCACTTTTCTATAGTACATCTTCACTAAATTTTTATTTAAACATGTTATTATTACTCATTTTAACATATTTTCGTCAACAAAAATCAAAAAACTTGAAAAATAATGATTATGATAATTGTCGCTTATCTAGAGTACATCTTCATTAAATTTTTATTTAAACATGTTATATATACATATTTTAAAATATTTTCGTCAAAAAAATTCAAAAAACTTTAAGAATAACGATTATGACAATTGTCACTTTTCATTGGTACATCTTCACTAAATTTATATTTACACATGTTATTAATACTTATTTTAACATATTTTCGTCAAAAAAATTTAAAAAATAACGAATATGACAATTGTCACTTTTCATTGTCTTCACTAAATTTATATTAACACATGTTATTAATACTTATTTTAACATATTTTCGTCAAAAAAATTCAAAAAACTTTAAAAATAACCATTATGACAATGTCAATTTTCTATGGTACATCTTCACTAAATATTATTTAAACATGTTATCAATACTTATTTTAACATATTTTCTTCAAAAAAATTCAAAAAACTTATAAAATAACGATCATGACAATTGCCACTTTTCTATGGTACATTTTCACTAAATTTTTATTTAAACATGTTTTTAATACTATTTTAACATATTTTCTTCAAAAAAATTCCAAAAACTTATAAAATAACGATTATGATAATTGTCACTTTTCTATGGTACATCTTCACTAAGTTTTTATTTAAACATGTTTTTACTACTTATTTTAACATATTTTCTTCAAAAAAATTCAAAAAACTTTAAAAATAACGATTATGACAAATGTCACTTTTCATTGGTACATCTTCACTAAATTTATATTTACACATGTTATTAAAACTTATTTTAACCTATTTTCTTCAAAAAAATTCACAAAACTTATAAAATAACGATTATGACAATTGTCACATTAAAATATTATCCTTAAAAAGATCATATAAAATCATCAAAAAAGTTTCATAAAATCTACCTCATTTAATAAAAAAGATAATTTAAAAAAAATGATAAAAAAATTATAAAAGATTTCACCTAAAAGATTGTTTATTATCTAATAAGATTTACAATATAATTCCTCAATAAAAGATGTATTTATAAAGAAGATTGTGAAAATCACTAATAAATTATATTAAAAAGAATATTATAATTTTACAATATAGCAGCATATTATTTTTTTTATTAAAATAACATCAAATAAATAAATTTATTTTCATTTGAAAATATAATAATATAAATAAAAAATATTAAATCATATCATGTTTATTTGTTGATAATAATAAAATATTTACATTAAATATAAATAAAATAAATTATTTTACTAAAATAAATAAATAATAATTAATACTAAGCATCGATGCAGAATTTTGACTAATTTTTAGCAGATTTATATAGGCTTAGCCGATTTTTAGGCTTAACCTAATTAGGCTTAGCCGATTTTTAGTTTTAGCCGATTTTTAGGCTTACCTAATTAGGCTTAGCCGATTTTTAGGCTTAGGCTAATAGGCTTAGCCGATTTTTAGGCTTAGCCTAATTAGGCTTAGCCGAAGCCGATTTTTAGGCTTAGCCTAATTAGGCTTAGCCGATTTTTAGGCTTAGCCTTATTAGGCTTAGGCGTAGTTTTTAGCCGATTACGCAACACTACTCATGACCTAGTTCAAGAATCTAAAGATTTGTCAGATTCTGAGAATTGTAAATTTATTTAATTAAAATATTTTTACCAATACATTATTTAGCTTCTTCTGATGATGATGATAATTCAGGAACTTACGATTAAGATTGGAAAAACTATTCATTTATTTTACCTTATCGTTTATTTTTAAATTTTTCTGCTTTCCCTAATTTAAGAATTTTATATAAATATTTATTAACCATTCCCACAACCTCATGTACTGCCAAAAGAGTCATGAGTAAAATTAAATTAATTAAAACAAGACTGCGCAGTACCATGAAAGATTCTTTTCTCAATAATTTAACCATATTATCAATGGAAAAATTTTTATTTAAACAATTAAATACTATGAAATTATAAATTTTTTCGCTTTCTCTTCCCCTAATTTATGTAAATTATTAATTTAAAAATAATATTTATAAAGTTATATTTTTTGCATTTTATTTATATTATATATTAAAAATTGATGCAATAAAAATTATTTTTGAAATTTATGGGTGTCATAATTATCATTTTTTTGGGGGGGGGGGGATACTTTTCAAGGGGAACTTTTCATGGGGGTATTCTGCTTCATTCGCTCAAAAAGTGTAGGGGCCAATGGAACTATGGAGGTGGAATGAAGAACAAACCACTATACAGGAGAAAAAAGCCCTTTATAAAATATGGTACAAATCCAAAAGCCCAGATGACAAGACAAGATACAAAAAATCCAAGAGAATAGCTACAAAGGCGAAGGCGGTGGCTAGGGCCAAATCTATGGCATACGATGACATATATGACTACATACCAAAGAAGGGCAAAATAAAATATACAGATTAGCCAAACGAGAAAAGAATTCTAGGGATATAAACGGAGCTCCGAAAGTAATCAAAAATAAAGATGGGAAATTCATAATAGAAAAAGAAATAAGGAATAGATGGAAAGAATATTTTCAGGAGCTTCTCAACTTTAATCCCCACATACTATATCTAGATGAACACTCCCCATGTCAAAACCTTGTACAACCAATAAAACAAGAAATAATCATATGCCTCAAGCATATGGAAAACAACAAAGCTAGGGGTCCAGATGATATTCCAATAGAAAGCCTTAAAGCACTAGGAGATGATGGAATAAATTTCTTCACAAACCCATACAATAAAATACTTGGAAATGAAGAGGTTCCTCTAAAATGGGGGCAGAGCTATCTAGTTCCTATCTTCAAAAATAAAGGGTATCCACACAATTGTCAAAATTACAGGGGCATAAAACTAATGTCACACTCTCTAAAACTATACGAAAAAATATTAGAAAAAAGATTAAGAGACATAATCGAAATAGGCGAGACTCAATTTGGCTTTATACCTGGAAGATCAACAACTGATGCTATCCACGCAATTAGGCAAATGAGTGAAGAATACAGGGAAAAGAACAAAAAGCTACACATGGTCTTTCTCGATCTAGAAAAGGCCTTCGATAGAATTCCAAGAAAACTTATCTGGTGGACGCTACGCCACAAAAAGGTTCCCGAAAAATATATAAGAATAATACAGGATATGTATATGGGCCATACAACAATGGTCTGTAGCACAACAGGTACATCAGCAAGCTTCACAATATCCGAAGGAGTTCATCAAGGGTCGGTTCTCAGCCCACTTCTCTTCATTACAGTAATAGATGTATTAGCACAGTCTATACCTCAAACAGTCCCGTGGAATATGATATTTACAGATGATATTGTGATACTTGCCGAATCCAAGGATGAAATGAAAGAAAGATTAATGAGTTGGATAAATATCCTAGAAAAGCATGGACTAAAAGTAAATAGAAGAGTATATGGTGATAGGAGGAGATAAAACAGAGAGTATTGATATAAATGAATGGCAGATATCGGCAATTGAAAGCTGCACATATTTGGGCTCCACTATACAAACAAACGGCACAATAGAAAAAGGGATAAAGAGTAAAATTAATCAAGGGTGGTTAAAGTGGAGATCTTTTTCTGGAGTGCTATCTGACAAAAGAATCCCACACAAATTAAAGGGAAAAATTTACAGTTCCATAGTACAGCCAACTATTCTATATAATTCGGAAACATGGCCAACCAAGAATGGAGATGAGAATGCTGAGGATGATTGCTGGGGTAACAAGAAAGGATAAAGTGTGCAGTACAAGAATACTAAGTAGTGTAAAGGTAGTGCACATTAAGACTAAGTTAATGGTAAACAGACTTAGGTGGTATAGGCACACATTGAGAAGGCCTATGAACTACATAGGAAATAAGGTTGAGATTTGGAAGTGATGGGCAAACGTAAAAGAGGAAGGCCAAAACTTCACTGGGGCCATAAAGTTAGAGCCAATATAAAGAGGTATAAATTAGATAAAAGAGATTGTATGAATCACATAAAGTGGAGAGAGATGATAAGGAGCTTACCACCAGAAAAAGGTGAAATCTAAAGAAAAAAAAAATTATAAGGAAAAGGATTATTAAAAATTGCATATCAATAAAATTGGAATAAAATTAAATAATTTTTTAAGAATGCATTCACCAAGCATAATCTTTTGGCCAGAATGAGAACGAACCAGGCAAGCAAACCGCTACAGCTTGGTCTTATGTATGGACACTTTTAAATGCATTAAATAAATAAATCGTCAATCTAATTATTGCAACTTTCTGATTACTATTTTTACAAATCAGTAATGCGAAATGTAATGCTATTGCTTTTTTGGGAAACGTATATGGCATTAATTATAGTCAAAATTTTCGTTTCACACAAATATAAAGTTAAGAAATTTATATCCAAATTTAACTGCCCCAGAAAAATCCACAATGATATATAAGACTGAAATTTATATCATTTTGTTTGTATTACAATTTGTGTAAAGGAATTTATGAAATTTGTAATTTTTTTCTTGATCGTTTTAAAGAAATTTCTCGGTGATATGAATCTGTTTCATGATTAAAATTTCCTCCCATGACCCTCCTCCCTTCTTAACTATTTAATTAATGAAATATTGGCGACAATATCTATTTACTAATCCCAAAATAAAAACTTAAATTGTGAAGTGAAGATATCCAAGTCAATATTATAATGCATTATTAGAAAGTAAAATAAAACAAAATATTTCTAAAATTATGTATAAAAAATTAGCTTTAGCCTATATAATTTATATAATTTAATTAGAGATCTGCAAATCCTGGTCCGAACGGGCTTTGGGCCAGACCTAATTTTTTTTCAAAAAAATCGGCTAGAGCTAGGTCACGCCTAATAATTTTAAAAAAAATCGGGCCGAATTTAAATTTTTATATATTTAATTTTATGAAATAAATAAACATAAAATCCTTTAGGCAAGGCAATATTTTCTATTTCTAGAATATTTTTTTATATTGAAAATATATCAAATTTTTCTTTTTAAACAAATTCGAGACGGGGGACAAATAATTATTATTTTGGGCCAGAATTTTTGACATATAAAAAAATTCGGGAACGGGCCGGGATAATTTTTTAACAGGGCAGATGGAGATGACTATTTTCAATCTCAAAAATTGATATTAAATTAATTAAGAGTATATAAGAAACTTTTGCCTAATATATTCGAAATATCATTTTTAAATAGTGGTCCCTCAAGTGAAGTTTCCTAAGGCGCTGTATATGAAAATTAAAAAATTGGGGTGCGATGATTACAATTATCAATTAAAAAATTTTTTTAATAAATGCCGTGTTTAATCTTATTCAATTGTTTTTATATATTTTCTTAATGAATGATCCACGTTTCCTATTAATAAAAAAAATTTCTTTCCATTCATATTCATATATTTTTTATATATCTAATCTAAGCAATGACCAAGGGACTTATACTACAGGAGGGAGGGTGGTATGACTAAAGATTGTCAAAATTTAAGAGGCGGGGGATGAAGACACTTTCATCATTAAATAAAATTAGTAGGAGTAATTTAGATTCGAATTTCTATTTTGTCCATTTGAATTTCCTATTTTGATTTGGTAGGGAGGCAAAAAGGGAGTAGAAGGGTAAATCGTCATTGACATAGGGGGAGGGTTTAAAAGTCCCTCCAATGAATGAATAAAATCAGTAAGGCTCCCTTATTTTTAAATGTATATTTATATTTCACTGCCTTCAAAGTAATAATCATTTATATATTATATATACCATTTAGTACTTTCAAGCTAGGACTTGTAAAATATAATATTATGAAAGCAATTTTGAACGGGATAATTTATTCCGTATGAGAATAAGCACTAGAATTTATTTTATCATTTGTACACATGAATTAGTATTAATTTTAGTTATGTGCAAGATTATTTTGTATTTTAGTTTGAGAAAAAATAAGCAAATATGTGACCGGATTTTGAAGGAAGTTTCTTTTTTATCTAAAAATATTTTGTAAGTACATAATTTAAATTTTATTTTAAACTTTTTAAATAAATTAAATATATAGTATATTTATTAAATTGTAAATGTGTTTTGAATCTAATATATATAAAGATTGATATCTATAAATATAATAAGCATAATTAAAGTTCACGTAAATTATAAGTATATTATAAAATTCGAAATATAAAATATAAACGAGATTTTCACTTATAATTTCATATAATTAGGCTAAAAAATTAATTTAAAAAAATTATTCACAAATTTTGCAATTTTATTTTACGTAAGGTTTTTTTTCTTCAAAATATATCCGCGATATAATATGTTTAATGTGTTATGTATAATTTAATGACGGCAGTTGAAATTAATTTTATTATATATTATTACATTATAATTCTTTGCGTATATATCATATAAATAAAGATAATATTGTGGGGGAGGGGAGAATGGTCACTATGTTTATAACTATTAAAACAATACTATAGGTTCCGATTAGTAGCGTGTTATTTTTATCAATGTTTGAATTATCAAGATGTGTATATTAAGATCAAAAGCAATACGTATGAAACAAAAGTTTACATTTTGCTCAAAAAATGCGATAATAAATACCATAATATTAATAATTTCCTTAATTTATTTATTTGGAGTGTTTTTTAAAAGCGCGGCAAGGCCAAAATGTTTTAGTAAGGATTCACCAGTTACACATGTTATCAAGAATTTGTAAAATAGTTTAAAAAAATATTTTAATCATAAATATAATTTGTAAATAGTATCACTAAAAAAACGAATTGATGGAAGAAATATCATAAAGTAATGCTGAATAATATCAAATTGTGAATATATAAAAATATAAGATCACGAACATACTATTAAGATTAACTAATTTACGTTAAAAATCAGGTTGAATGCATATAATTCAAGCTGACATTTAAGAATTATAGGGGTTTAGAGATACATATCCATTTTTAGGATAATAGGTGTTGTTTTGGGTGTTGTGAAGTATATTTTCGGATTTGTCAAAACTCTTGGCTATCAAATTTATAGGAGCTAGAGTATTTAATTCTAAAAAATATTGGATGAGATTGTAAATATAAAGTTTATAATATATATTAAAAATTACTATAAAATATGGTAATTTGAATAAGAAGATAATCATTTCTTTATTGCTTGCTTATGATATTACCTTACTTATAAATTTTCAAATTTTTTTGGCTGCTAGTTCGATAAAGAAAAATCACCAAAAAAATTAAATATGATTATAACCTCGGATCTTTTGAAAAAGAGGTGATTCGTTGGATACCCTGTCGCGTAGGAGTTGCGAATAATGATAATGAATGGTATTCTGTTTCAATGGGTCCAAGGGCGAAATTAAATCAGAATTTGTAAGTTTTAAATTTGTAGTTGTCGCAAGGGGATAAGGTGGATAACAAAGAGTTTTTTTGGGTGATATTTCTATTATCGGGTTATATAAATGCGGGTAGAAGTGTGGAAGCGATTTTTTATCAATTAAATTATTAAGGTTATGTCCCGGCTCCGAAATATCGTTGTTGTAGTTCTGGCTGCTGCCAGAGGGAAATCCAGAATAGGATGATTGAAATGAAAATGAATGGTGAGGCGTGTCAGTGTGCAAAAAGGTAGGCAATTTTTGGCAAAAGGGCCCCGAGTGAGATATCGAAAAAAGATCGGCAGAATTCGCCGTATAAAAATTATTATTACCCATTTGAGGTTGGGGAATAAAATTGGAATTAAAATGCATAACAGAAGCTAAAAGTGTTGTGGGATATTGGATCGATTCGTTTATTGGAAGCAAATTTGAAGAACGCGATAAAGGAATATTATTTTTGACAGGGCTGTAAAACGATTTATTGGGTAGGTGGTAATTATTGGATGGATCCTTTTTTTCCTCCATGTTTCTGCAATTCTTTTCGATAATATTTAGCGATCTTATGATGGTCTCGGCGTGACAAGAATCGGACAAAGAAAACTCGATTTGAGAAGTGGGTATATTATCTTCGTTTTGTAACGTGCTAGAATGAGGATAATAATCGATATTCGAGCTAGCGGTATCATAGCCATTGAGAATTGTCATGTTTTGACAAAATAAGCTGCTGTTTAGTAATATTAAATCGTGCAAATTAGCAGGAACGGACTGAGAATATATTATTTTTGGCGTATCTGTATATATGGTTAATATTGAGTCGCTAGATGAAGGATAGTATGTTTCGGAGAAATGTATGTTTGGGTTCTCGTGAGCAGAAGTGATAAAACTTGGAATGATTGTATGATTCGATAATTCCTTTGTGAAAGGTATGGATTGAGTTTCATTACTGGCGTTATCGGGACACTCAAAATCTTCCATTTTATGTTTTTTCTTTTTCCTTCTCATTTTCTTGTCCTTTTCAGCCCTTTTCTTCTTGTTCGTTAAAAATATGTCGCCAAGTTTGATTGCGTTTGGTTCAGAATCGATTATAGCACTGACATAATAAGGTGATTGGTTCGAATTACTAATATCAATATCGACGTAAGCAGATTCTGTCGAGAAGCTCCGGACTCTATCGTCGATATTATTGCCGTTAAACTCTTGATCACAAATTTTGGTTAATGGTTTTAAAATATCGATAAAGTGTTCGTTTTGTATATCGATGGATTCGGAACAGTGCATAAGCTCATCGTAGCGAACTAATTCACGCTCTAGTCGAGAAATTCTTTCTTCCAATTTAAGTCTCGTCCGGTTAAGGTCTCTGATTTTCCTAATGTTATTTCTCTCTTCTTCGCTTTCGAATTCGATGCGGTCAATATAGATATTGGAATAATGCGACATTTCCAATAAAAGAGCAAGTGGCATTTCTTCATCTTCGCACTTAATTTCATGACATTTGCCAAAGTTTGGTGGGCTGTTTTTAGAAGAAAGGTTAGGTACGACTTCATAACTTTGAACATAATCGATGTTTCCAATACTATTATTTCCATTTGAGATATGTGAATTGTATTTTGAACTTTGACAATTACTTTGGTTATCGCTTAAATTGTTTGTATCTAACGGATCGTCATTTTTCCTAACTACCTTCCTAAAAACTAGCTTAAGACTGGGTTGTTTAGAGATATTATTATTTAGTGATGTAGAAAATGGTGCCCCACCTAGAATGGTAATATTATGTTCATCTAAATTTGGTTCCAAATGTTTTTTGGTATAGAAGGCAGGTAGATCGTTTGAGTCGTCTTTGAAATAATTAAGGTAATCGTTGTTGGCGTTTCTCAAATTATAAGAAATCTTAGGTAGAGAGAACTGTTGCTGATTCGTGTGAACTGAAGGCAAGGGCGAAGAATTTATTATAGAGATGTTTGAAGCTGAAGGATGGAGGAACCGTGATATGATCTATGTTTAAAAAGAATTTAATTGGATTAATATATTAAATATTACTGTTAATGAAAATACTTTTTGCTTTAAAGACTTAACACATTTTGACTTAAAAAAATATTATATAATGTATATATCATTGGAATTATATAAGTTTTAAGAATAATATTCTTATAGTGATTCAAAAATGGTAAAATAATAAAAAAATTAGCACAACCTGGCTGGACAAATTTTTAAAAATATTTTTTTTGGAAGATTTTGCACAGGCTGCCCGGCGGGGTCGAAAGTGAGCTGGGCTTTGAGCTGTGTAAATCTCTCAAAGAAATAAAAAGTTATAAATTATGCTCGTCATGCCAAATTCCAAAAGATGGCATATAAATGATATATGAATATTAAAATTAAATATCAAAATTAGGATTTAAGTTTGCATTAAGGTTAGGTGTTATTTTCATTTTAATTTTAGATCAAGGACACCCCATTATATCATTTGTAAAATTTTTTAAATTAAATTTACTGAGAGAATATTCATATTAAATTTGCTATTTAAAAAAAATAGTAATCGTATAGGTGGTTCATTAATATTGGCCTAAATAAGGATTAATAATATTATTTAAGAATCGCTAAGAAAAGACGCTAGATATTAAAACTATCTGCATAAAAAAATAATAGTTATAACTTCTGATATAGGTAATTTCATTTTAATCCTCAAGCCAACTCGCCTGATTACAAACTATTTTTAATATGTATTTTTAAAAAAAAGTTCCTTGGAGATCTTTCTTCAATATATATGTAATTTATTCATTTTTTGTTTCAACAATCATAATCCAAACAATTACACTGATATCGCGAGTAGTTTTAACTGAGTTATCACTTTCTTTGGAACTTGCTTTTCTCCCAGGAACTTTTGGCCTTTTCCTAGCCATCCCATAGGCATCATTGCAAATACAATTTGTAGTATTATCATTAGCTCCGCGTATCAAATTATAATCGTATGTATTGATATTATCGTTAGATACCAGTTTATCTCGAAGACTTTTGATATTTTGTCGCACTGTTCGTGAATATTTAAGATTTGGAACGTTAATAACGTTATTATTGTCATAGTTTGAGCAAATGGGAATTTTAAGTTTAACAGAAGGAGAACAAAAAGAAGTAGACTTGGTAGAGGTTGTAAATTTTACCGTGTGGTCCTCGAGTAGTCCATCGTTAGGTAAAATATCACTGTGCCTTTTTCCTGCAATTTTGTAAAAAAAATATATACATAAATTTTGAGAGAAAAGAACTGAAAATTTAAAAATGTGCACACATGGGCTTAATATTACTTTTTTTGTACCAACTTATTATTATTCTTGAAAGATACAAATCGTAAATTTCGATAAAGTTGAAAACTCCTTTCATATTAATTTTAGAGGATGAATTATAGCGCTCCCCTCCCCCCCCCCCCATTTTATATAATTTTTTACTTTTTAAGTGATAACTATAGATGGCGCTAATATCAAGTAAATTCAATTTAAAGTATATGAGATAAATCTATATATCTTAATTACCATAAATAATACGTGATAAAAAATTTAAGTTTGGGGGTGCGAACTAGTCACGATCTTAATTTTATAAATAAGAGTTTAGATTAAATGGAAATATATAGTGGTCACAAAATATTACGAAAAAATTTTTGAGTATTTGAAAACCAGGACTTACGGAAATGTCTTGAAAATGCTTGAGGTAATAATACTTTTGAACATATATCACATATAACGAGGTTAAAGTTTTGATTCCAGCAAGGTGAAAAATGCCCGTAATAAATTAAATCTATAATAATATAAGTATTAAAAAAGTTTTTATATCTTATAAAACAATTAACACCATACCATTTTAAACAATGGGCGGTTTATGTTTTTGTCTAGGATTATTTGGGTAAACAAAAGCTATAAAACTGGATAGCTAAGAGGTAAAATTCTCGTTCGCCACCAATTTAATCATCTAAGATTTTGATAAGAAGGGATCAGAGATCCACCAAACTTAAAAATTATTGTAGATTAAACAATTGTATCTACTAAAAATAAATGAATATAAAAAATCTGATCCCATCTGAATCAGTGGCGTCAATTCATAGCTCGTATCATGGATACTTAGCTTGCGCTCATCGCCAGTGACTAACTAAACTAACATGAGGGCAGAGTTGCAATATTATTTTTGAGAGCTTCACTACTTTTCAATTAATTATAATAATAAACTCTAGTTATAAATATGAAAATTAATTTATGATTTCATTAAAAAGTTATTTTAATTTTTATATATTGAAATTTTAATTACAAAATATAATAACGTATTGTTTATATAAAATAAACACCGTTAGCCTTCATCCCATTTGCTGAATAAATATTTTACAAAAAATATCAATACAGATATTAATCTTATCTATCGTGTAAAACTATCAAAATATTAAAATGTCTGAAATATAGATAGATGAGAAGTATAAGTAGAATTATGCTGTAAAATAAAATGCGTTCCTAATAATATTATTAATAAAATGTTCAATAGTTAACAAGAATATAAAGTTCAAATTAAGTAATTCATTAAAACGTTTTCTTTGGGATATAAAACAGTCTACGAAGCCATAATAGTCATATCTATGGGCAATAAATTCTACATCTTTGAAAATATTGCAGATTAAAAAAAATTTTTTTATATTAGAAAAAACTCGCTCATCTAACGATTATAACAAAAATAGTAATTAGTAATTAATATTTTTTATAAAGTGGCAAAGCTACTTTTTGAAAATGGTAGTTCCATAACTTTTTTAAGTTGAGGTAGTGCGCTTTTTTTAAAATTAGCCTTAACACTGCATAAATGCAGTCAAATTATGGTTAATTCGAAAATTTCTTTAAAAAAAAAATTTAAAAAAAAATGATGGACAGTTTGAATAAAGTATAATTTAAAAGAAATGTATACACCTGCCTAATATAATTTGAATAATTTTTACGTTAGTATCTTAAGATATATATAAATAATAAAAAGGCAATCATTTAAGTCACCTCTGAATAATACCATCAAATAACCTTTTTTTTAAAAAAAAATAAATTAATATAATGTTACGATATTTGGAAATAGAAAAATAGAACATTAAAAAAATATAGAACAAGATTATTTGACTTTTGATTATTATTTTTTTTTGGGAGGGGGGGGGGGGTTAAATTTTGTCATTTTCAAAATAATAATAATAAACAAGTTAACGCGAGGGAACTAAAGATTTTATACTGATACCGTTGGTACCGGTCAATACTTTTAATTTTTAGTGATTCGGCGACAATTTAAATTTTTACGATTGTCATTATAAGAGAGTACCTGATTTTAAATTTCATATATTAATTAATAATAAAATATTGAAGGCCCAAACAAGGCCAAGGCTATAAAATAATATGCTTTTAAAAATTGGGCCTGAGATAAAAAAATTATAAAAAGGGGCCGAGCCCAAGAACATATTGTAGATTATATATAATAGAGGTTTGCGCCGGACCAACTTGCGCAAAATATTTTTACGACCCGGGAAATTTTTTTTTAAACCTAGAATTAGACAAATTTTTGTTTTTACTCCATAAAAAAAATTATTACAAGCGGGTAGGAAAAAATTATTAAACGAGTCTAATAAAAAAAATTTAAGGGAAGGGCCTAAAAAAATTTTCAAAAATTTGTAAGGCCCTAGTCGGTCTCTATCATATAATGGATTATCTTTTTTATAAAAAATACCGTTAAATAAATTCGAAAAAATTCATACATGATTTTATTAATATTATGTTCGGGTTAGGTGGAGAATTTTTGGATTCAAAAAATGCCTTTTATCGGGTATAAAAAAATGGTTTTCGGTGGGTCTCTAGTTTAAACTAACTTTGATTTTACAGGAAAACGAACTTTAAAAAATCCATAAAACGATAACTTATTTTATTACAATAACACTATTAAAAATGAATTTTGGGGTTTTTTTTAATGCAAAGGCCCAGGTCTATTTCTTCAATAAATGGAATGAGAACCCACGTAAAAACGGCGAAGATTTTTCCAATATTCATCAATATGATATGTGAAGAGGGTTTAATTTAAAAGAAATGAGATTTTTTTAAAATTTTTTTTATTAACCTTGATAATTAAAAGTTTTTTTTAAACTAAGTAAATATTGTAAATAAACAAAATATTCTCGATAATAAATCCAAGAAATAAAATTTTAACAAAAAATATTTAGTATAATATTATATAAACTGATTAATAATTAGGTTTCAGATTTATTATTATTAAAATAAAATAATACTCAACATATTTATCAATTTTATATTATATTTGGTGAAATATACCTTGTCTGCAAAAGAATAAAATATACTATACCTCATGGAAAATAAGCTCACCCCCGCTAAATTATATATCATAATGTCCGAATTAATTTAAATATATTATATGACAATGTTCCATATTCAATCCATCATAAAAATAATTTTTTTTATAATGGATATATTTATTAAAAATTTGCACGACGCGAAGCCCGATAACTCGTGCAAATTTTTACAAGCAAAGTCGGTCCAAAATTTCGTAAAATTGTTGTGAACTTAAAAGAATTCAAATTTACGAGCAGGGCAATTCTTTCAAAATTTTCATCCAGATCGAATAAATTTTAAAGACCAGTAAACCTTTCATAAAATTTTAAGGGTGCCCACTGTGCAGATTGTAATAATAGGTTATGTATAAATGAGTGATCTGGACCTCAAAGAACATCAAATCGAAACAAGACAAAATAACATGAAAATGAGTTATTCCTTCCGATACAATCCAAATTATGTAGAACAGAATGAAATACTTGCTTTCGAGGATGGTTAAGCTGCCTTATTTTCATCAATTTGCTCCAATAAGATGAAAAAACTTACTTAATGCTAACTGTTCGCCCTAAAAAGCTTAATTGTTAGATATCATCGATTTCATTCTATTCTTCTCTTATAAAAAATTGCGTCCCAAATTCGTTAGATATAGACATCGATTGATTTTAATAAATTATAACTCATTAAAATTTCTAAAATAAAGCTCAATGGCACCCGTTGTATTATCTATTCAAGAATATCCATCACCTGTGATGGGTGATTTCTAGTAGGGACAAACATGATAATGAAGAATAGAATATCTTCGATTCTGTATAATCTGTAACCAACATTCAAAAAAGGCAAAAAAAAGGAGAAGAATGGACTCAATGTACAAGGTGTTTGGAATGGTCATATGCGAATTGCCAATAATGACTCCTAATATCCACCCAAAATGCTTAGATTCATTTTTTTGTAATTAACTCTAATTCCTTTATATATGGTAAATAATTCAATTTAAGTTTTTCTTGATTTTACACTTAATTTATGTTTGGCATATTATCCTCATACTTTTGCCATCTAATCCGGGCATGATGATGAAAAAACTCCACTAAATCTTAAATAGCGCTCATGTAGAGGTAAAAACCTCCATTTTTTGTCTTGTTGCCGAAGGTTTAAACTATTATATATTAAAATCGGTTGAAAATCCTTGCCAGCAGACCTTGGTCTCCTAAATAGCTATATTTTAAATCATATTATATATTATATTATTAATATAATCGCCGTAATCTAGAAATGAACGTTTTCGTATAACCTTAATGTTAATTTTTATTTTTGGTATCAACTTTCCTATCTTCGTAATGTTAAATAAATCGAATGTTAAATTTTTTTTTAAAAGAAAATATTATTTAAAAAATATTCTTACATCAACGAGATTCGAACCACTGACTTAACGTTCGTTAAGCAAGCGTTCTTTCCACTCAACCCCCTTCTATTTTAAATTTCTATTACAATTCTTCTTATATATGAAAATATATTTTGATAAATTAATTAACATTAATTTGTTTATTATTAAACTCTTATCTTTATTGGTTTAAATTTTTTCCATCTTTTAATTATATTAAAAAAAATACAAAAATTATGATTGTTCCCACGCTTTTGCAAGGACATATGTGTTCCAATGAAAAAATATATACTAAAAATATTGTGTATCTATTGCCTACCTTCAAGTATAAGTAAACATATTTTGTAAATATATATCTTATTTCCTTTAAGGATATTTAATAACATTTTTTCAAATAACGCCTGAATATATTCCAAACTTTTATTACTTTTGCCATGGATCTAAAAGAGGTATATTTTCAAATTGTTTTTCTTTTACTTTTATATTTTAGACATGCTTTCTAATGAAAAAATATTGTGTATACATCTATTTTATAATACCATCACCTTCAGGTATAAGTAAACATATACTATATATCTATATCATATTTCCATTAAGGATATTTAAAAGTTAACATTTTTTCAAACAACACTTGAATATATACCATACTTTATTTCCTTTTGCCATGGATCTAGAGGTATATTTTCAAATTGTTTTTCTTTTACTATTATATTTTAAATTTAAACAAATCAGTATAATAAAAAAGTCTCTCATAGTCATAGCAAAAATAGTCAATATGAGCTTGGTCTAATCATTTAATCATCCTCAACATGGGATAGGGAAAAGAACCCCCAAATATTACTTTACAAAGGTACTATTTATTTTTATAAATATGGATTTTGACAAAGGAAAAAAATTCAAGATAATTTGATTTGGGCTAAGGATTTCTTGTGGTGATATATCAGACTAATGCTTATCCTAATTCTCAGTTTTGGAGATATCTAATATCTACTTTTTGGTAAAATTATTAATATTATAAATTATATGGGATAGGGAAAAGAACCCCCAAATAATCTTATTTTACAAAGGTA